CTCTTGCTTGCATACCAGCATAAGAAGTAAATTGTATAAGTACACTGTGTCACATAAAATTCTCCATGCATTTAAAACACAGAAACTTGGGTTAGAGTCGATGACCTCAAATGCAGTTACCTCTCTGGCGGAATCCGGGTCAGCTCGGCCCTAAAACGTACTCGGCCCCCGAGTCAGCTCGGCCCTATACCAACTCGGCACGGGTCAACTCGGCCCACTTTTCAATTATTAATATTTAGGTTTGTGTTATCATTGTTTATTGTAATTATTGTAATCATTTATAATACACGGATTGACAGTTTCCGAACTGGCAGCAGACAGGCTTTTCTTATCAGTAGAATTACGAGTAAAGATACTCGATTGCATATCTCACTGTATTTCTGACTCGTGATAGGTTTACCGAAATTTTTTATACTTTCAGTGTCAATGTGTTGAAATATACACTGAGAGGAAAAAAAATACGGAAATTACATCTGTATAAAAATGATATAGGCCTATATTGAAATAAAAGATAATTGAAAACAGGGTCGTTCAAATAGAAGTTACTTTGATGAAAATAAGTCTATATGAAAATATCTATAATATTAACATGAATTTTCGCAAGTATGCTTTTCTCTCGTCGATTCGTGACTCTTATTTGGAAAAATTGCACTTGCACAACAAATATCAAGACATACATACAGTTCAATTAGTGCATTTGTTAAATAAATTCATTATCTAAAAGTTCAAAAACTTTAAACTACTTCTAAAAACAACTGCTCAAAGATTAGAGCAACTGAACATGTCAACCATGACTGTCTTGCTCAGCTGGACGCTTACCCATCGATTCGTGAAATCAGATTCACCCTGTGACGTCATCAAAATATAGGTGCTCACACCACTAAATGTTTGCATGGTTATTTTCAGCCCGATCTGATCAATATATGTTTCAAAGTCTTAAGTAAATTCTTACAGCATAATGAATATTTTTTTGGCTTAAGTGTAAGTGTGTTTGATAAATTAAAACATCAATATCGAATATTTTAAAGTAATCAGGTCACCAGCTGATTGTAGGGTGAGGTCATTTACAACTGTTCATTTACGCATTTTGATTGGATAGAATTGTCAAATTGAGTGTCTTATAAAACTTGTGTAGTTTTCGGATGGTGTATGTCCTTGCAGAAGTATTTATACCAGACAATTATTTAGGTCACGAATCAATGAGAAGGCACGAATCGATGAGAATAAGGCATATATTTATACATATTAAACTTCTGTTCTTTATTACAGTCAATGATCCAATTCCGGACCGTGAGCAGTTCCGGCACACTTCGTGTACTTTCGTTCAAATATTTGACAAAATATTGCCAAAATTAACAAAATTTTGGTATGGTTTTATAGTATAATTTATTTCTCATAAATTGAAAGTTTTTTTTCTGCGTTGTAAACATTCCAACTCATTTGGCGCTTGGTTTTTAGAAGCAAGCATTTGAGAAAACAGACTCGCCGTAATGGCGCCATCATTGATGACTTTTAATTAGCGCGAAATAACTACATAAAAAGGTAAGTATTTTATAAAACTTTGTTATTGTTTTATGTGAAAATGTATAGCCTATCAAGAGATATAACTTTTACATGGTGGTCATGCCGAAAAAAGGTAGAAATCTTGTTTCGAGCGAGTATACATGCGTGACCACTTCCGGTATTCTGATTTCGTTTGTTGGGGGCTGTGTCAAAACATTTATGACGTGTCAGAATGGAGTTAAATGAGTAAACAAGATTTTTAAAACATTAAAATGTGTAGTAATGAAACTGTATAGCATTTTTTCTCTAATTTATTTTATTTATATGAAATAAATTTATTTATAAAATTAGTTTATAGAATATTATTGATACATTTTGTATAAATATTGATAATTTTTTTTTCCAGTTTAGCTTTATGTGGAATTGTTTGGCTCCTGTTCATTTCTATGTTTATTTCTAAATATATAATTAGTTGGAACTACATTAATACTTAATTGTTGCTCATTTTGACAGAAGAAGAAAATGAAGATGATGTGAAGTGTGAAGGTTGTGGCATGACTTGGAAAGAAGACCAAGAACTTGGTATTGGAAAAATATGGGTGAAGTGTGACTTCTGTAATAAGTGGCTACATACAGATTGCTGTCTAAATGAAGTTAACATTGAAAGTGATGACCCTTTCTGCTGTCCAGAATGTAAGAATGATTTACCAAAACCAAATCAAATTTGTCTACCAAAAAATTACAAATTCATATTTCATACTTGCATTTTTTTCAAAAAGATGATTTCTTAGAAAAAGGTATAAATTTTCTAATAAATTTATTTGAATCAAAACATGTTTATGTATCCAGAATAAAACCAGTGAAAAGGGAAACTTATTTTTTCAAACAAATTTTAGTTTCTTTCAGCTGTATTTAAAAAAAAACTAAAGAAGTTTTGCTATTTGATAAATCCCTTATACATTTTAATGTTGATATATGAATAATATATATATACTTTAACTTGTAGGTGCCAAATGAAAAAAATGAGGAATGTACAGAATGTTGGTAGGTCAGTGTGTAATTAAAGGCTATCACTCCTTCAAAATTCGACTCCAATGATAGATGATGCCCCTTATTAACTGTAGATAGAGAATTATTGTAACATTCATGACAAAAAACGCATGCTTGGTATGGCTGCCTGGTTTTAGAGGAGTATAAAAGTGAGTTTCATCAATTAAAACAGACAAAACACGCAAGCTGAAACTTAATGATATAGCTGGCCTGCCGATAGGTCATGTCCACGAGGTTTAGGTGGATGTTTTCGTGAGATACTTGACAGAAAGGATTTAATATATGCAGAGGTAAACTGGTGAACCCCGGCCAAGTTTTCCACCTTGGCCAGCACCACATGAAAGACTGGTGGTGGTGCTGTCATCCCTTGTAGTTACATAATTAAGTGCAAGGATGTTTCTACAACCACAGCTCTTATTAGAAATGCTTTTACAGGAAAATGGAGAGAAAACAGTCATGACTGTAACAAGGAGGTGTTCAAAATAGTTAGTCTAATGTAAAGAAAACCGTAAAGCTGACTGTTTTCATTTTAATATCAACACAACAATTTAAAATCTTAAAACTTGTATATGTATAATAATATGTAGCATTTTTAGTTTAGGCTCAGTGGTGCTATTTGTGATAACCTTTCATTTTCTTAGGCCACACTTAAAAAATTGTTTGTTTGCAGTAACACGACCCAAGATTTTTAGTTTGGGAAGTAGGTTGATTTTTTTATATGTATATTTTTTAGAAAGCCTGTAAAATTTTTGGGTATAAGTATAGAAGGAAGGGCTAAAAAAAGCTTTTGGGTAGGGGATGATTTGGTGAGTAGGTAGCGTTACTGCAAACAAACTATTTTTAAGGACAGCCTTAACCACATAGTATTTTTCATTTAAACTTTTGAAATGGTATCCCTTGTGTTGTGGTGAAATATTTTTTGGCATAACACACTTGTCGCCATGGTATTCATCTCATAATTACATGTTGACCTGTACAAAGTTTGTGCAAACCATGGTAGTCTGATTAATATCTACATTTACATACCTCCATTTAAATGTAGTATAACATTAACATAACTTTAATCTGTCTAAATTTACAGCTGAAAGTGAGCAATTAAGACCCATCATTGTCATATTTTTTGAAAGCACTTGATTTTGCATTATTTTTAACATCTGGTGTAATTATCTTTGTGGATAGTCACTTGTTCTATGTTTTTAATTGTGACATACCTATAGATCAGAGAAAGTCCCTGCTGGTTAATTCTTAAAGAAAATGTTTATTTTGTTGCTTTTATATTAAAAAGAAATGTGCATGTGACTGGTTAGAGATTAATTATCTCCATACATGTGTAATTAATGGTCAGCAAACGGGTTGAGGTTGTGATATTCAACATGCATATTAGGTATTATTACAGTATTTTTATTTTCATATTTATTTTCAAACAAGCAGTTGTGAATATTTGTACAGTATTTATTTTCATGTTCAAATAACCCACAGGTGTACAGTATTTTAACTGCAGTCCTTTCAGGAAGTTTGTTCATTATTGGACTTGTGGTATATTCCAGAATTAAAAGAAAGCTATGGAATATTTAAAATTATCTTGTGTTGTTCTTTTTTTATCATCAATGTAAGTCCAACTGAGAACACTAACTTCAAGTGGTATTTAAAGTTGAAACAGGACTAATTTTAATCTGGTTTGTTCTGTAAACATGTTTTGATAGATAAATAATATTTTGAGATGCCCCCAATAAAGAGGGTTAAAAATAATATCAAAGAGGGACGCCACATCCGTAACAAACTGCATTTCCGAGGTCACGGAAATGCATCGTTTGGTTCAGCGAGTCGAGCAAAACTTTCATTTCTTCTTTACATCAGATTTAATTTAAACCGTTCAGAAAGGTAAAAGAAGATTTGTTATAACAAATAATGACCAACTTTCCTCCAAACAATAAAGGGTTTCATGCTGTATGCAGACAAATAATCAAAAGTGGTACGGAACCGCATCATAGACTGTACTTTAACTAGATAATGCACAGACAAGGTATTTCTATTTGATAGTACGTTATATATATTTTTGTAAAGTGGGCCGAGTTGACCCGTGCCGAGTTGACCCGTGCCGAATTGGTATAGGGCCGAGTTGACTCTTTTCCCTCTGGCGTGGGTTCGATCCCCGGGAGATGCTTTGGTAGTTTAGCGCGGAGGAAGGTAGTCTAGTACCGGTGTAACTCTCCAGGGACGATGGTTAGGAAACTACCCGCCTATATGACTGAATAATGTTGGGAAAAGGCGTAAAATGAAACAAACAAACATTGCACTGCATAATTTAACAGCATCGAATTTACAGCAAGTGTATGACGTCACTGTTTCCTTTTCACAGACAAATACAGTAAAGCAAATTCAACAATATATTTGATTACTTTTCATAACTGGAATACGAAGGGCATGTACATTCTAAAATGTCTTACGGTTAACTTGGAGTCTGAATTTCCAAAATCCGCACGAGCTTGCCACTGACTGCCATATGCGTTTCTGATTCCCGCCAAACTGTCATTTATCAGCATCCGATAAGGTATTGTCTAAACCTTTAGATCATAGCGTTGTCATCTTTTCACGTATTCTCAACATCACTAATTACGCGTCATCACTTATTTCACGGTAATGGCATAATTTCATGTGACCAGTGTTAAAATTTGTCAGAATTGACATATTTTATTCATACACCTAAAGTTTTTGTGAAAAATAATTTAAACCTCTAGATACACAATTAACACTTAACAAATTTCTGCCAAAAAAAAAAAACAGTCCATTAAATTTGTGCGCATGTCTGGAACAATCATCATTTTCTAAATGTTATTGGTTATTGAAAAAATAAATTTTAATTTACAAAGTAAGGAATTAAATGATGACATACTGTTTTCAAAATGGCGGACATATGGTCTGCGTTTGGTCCATTAAAATTGTCTTTGACTGAAAATATTGTTGTTTCCTTGTGTCAAACAGCAGAAAATACCTATATGTTACAGCTTATGACAATTTTTGTACCATAAGTTTCATTTGTTGCTTTCTTCTTGGTTTCAAAGCGTTAAGTACCGTGAACTATGAGGAGCACAGTTTACTATAATAAATTATTATTAGTGTGCATTTGTTCACTATATTTACAAAGGAAGCTGGGAACCAGATTTTATTATCATGTATAATTATGCATTAAAATTAAGGCCAAAATTTTTAAAAATTATAAACTCCCTTTAAAAAAAAGAGGAAAATAAACAGACAATATAAAGAGAAAAGAGAAATAAACGATATAAGTACCTAAAATACATTGCAACATACATAATAAAAAATTCAAATAAATCCCAATACTGTTTTTAGCTAAGCAATTTGTTGTTGCTGTAAATAATATATCAATAATTACAAGTACGAGAAAAGAGTCAAACATCACTAAGAAATTATTTGACAATACCGTACCGCGGCTCTACCGACTGAGCTATCTGGCCGCTTACACATTATCTCCCCTAAATAGTGAACAGTTCGTGGAACCGGGACATAACCCCTGCTATATTGAAATTCCCTCTCGAATTTCACAGAGTTACAGAGCAATGTAAATTAAACTCTGAGCATATTCAAGCATCACGAAATGCCCGACCACGTTTGGGCGCCAAAAAATCGTCTACAGGGTGAGAAAAATGTGCAGCCTGAACCGGGACTCGAACCCGGGACCGCTCGAATACCGTACGCGGCTCTACGACATGAGCTATCCGGCCGCTTACACATTATCTCCCCTTAATATATATGATATCTTAGTTCTAGAACCGTGAACACATCCATAATAGTTTTGACGTGCATGGCCGAGCGGACAAATATTCTAGAAGGATGAAAAGTCGATTGGGTTCACGTCAGGGGCAAGCTGTTGTTTCCTTGAGCAAGAAACTTTACACTCATTGCTCAGTACTGGTTGTTTCGTGCAAAACATGAAACACCTCAAAGTTATTTCAGATGTCTGTGAAGCAAAGCAAAGATGGACCAAGGCGTATATAGGAGTTTGAGTTCCACGAACGAACTCGAAAGTGTATATATGGGCGTATTTAAAAGCTAATAGCATAACATAGAATCGAACTGAACTAATTTCTGTTTAAACTCTTCATTTCACACCACCAATTCTTAAAGAAAACAACATTAAATTAAAGAAAACACTCAAAATCAACAGAGTTACAGTGTTGTTGTTTTTTGTATTATCAAAGATACAGTTACTTAGGACAAAACTATGGATTTGATAAGGAACATTTGGAGGAAAATTTAAAAAAAGGACAAAATTGAGTATAATATGCATTTGATACGTTTTTTACTCATAAATACGAGGCTAATTTGATAAGACTGGGCCCAATAATGATTTATATCACGTGGTAAAAAGACTGAAAGTTCATTGGTTACATTCCATAAGATGTGAAATAATTATTCCATTATACTTATTATTATTATCATTATCTTTACTATATCATACACTAACAAGTAATGAAAACATGGTGTCGTTCGTTAGGTATGCCCACATCATATTGAAATAGAGTTGTTTACGTTGAAATATGACTTCTGTTCCTATAAATTAGCTGTTTCGGTATTTATTACAACAATAGGACCACGAACCCTGTCAGAATGGTATTACCTACAGTTGTTTTCATGGTAATATTCTGCGAGAAGTGTAAAAAGAGACACGGTACAGTTATTACTCAACAATTCAAGAAATGCAACCATACGAATTCCGGTATTCCCTCGACGTACGACATTATCAGGTACGAAAATGTGACTTCAACTTTTTGTAGTAAGCATAATTATGCAGTAGTGAGCTAAGATTTTATTTTTTGAAAAAAGGAAGAGTGTTAGCTTTAGCTTAAAGGACGATGCTTTTCGTGGCATTTTCGTTATAAGTCTTACTTATGTTAGTAACTTATAATACATAGATATAGTTCTGTGCTTAAGTGCATATTTTAACATCTCATTGCGTTTTACTTTGTTTGGCACTCAATTATGTCCTATATTTAGATACTGCACAGCATTGTTCCAATACTGTATACATGTATATTCGTATAAAGTAAGTAAACCCCCTTTAACATTTTATGAGGCATTTGATTATTAGTTTGTGAATGTCTTTCGCCAAATGTCGTCCAGATATTTACGACGCAATGTTAAATTGGACAGTCGGGCGAAGCCTACGAAGTATTGCCATACTCGATAGATTTGCCTCTTAGCCTAGCTCTATTCATTTTGATATACTAGTAACATGGATGCTAGTAACCCCTAACAACTGGTTCGAAATTAAGAAAATTAAAATCTGATTACAGCTCGGCACGAGTCTCGTATAAGTGCTAAAATGTTTATTTTTTTCTTCAACAACATTTACAAAACATGTCTCTGTTACATTCTGTGTTTTATTTTACAAATAAGGCCAAACTTTTAAAAATTGCATGTTTTTTAATGAAATTATACTGGCCCATTGATTGGTTCTTGGCAATGGAGTATGCATCTAGGTTCTGATTGGATGAGAAAATTTTGAAGTCTGAGATTTAAAATAGCGTTTATTCACATACTTTTATATAATATTTATGATATTAACAACGGTATATTTACATTACTTTTTGTTAATATCGAGTTGCAACAAGGTATTTTTTCATGAATTTATCAATTACTTCATCCTACAGCTGATCTACAATAAATTTACTTTTATAGTACTGGCCTTTGATGGTTTCACACCTTATCCAGACTGGGAGATAGTTGCACGTACATGTATGACTTCATGACCCAGTCGTCTTGGATATCGGGAACAGTAACCTGTCGTTTGTGTTGATGATCCAATCTTACCAAATGATATATTTTACTCTTTCAGTGCCTTCTTGCACAAATATAGAGAATATCGCCGCCCTTGACAGACGCCACTGTAATCGGACAAAAACTCCTTCATGTATTTTTGTATATCTGGACATAATCCCCTCCATGGGTGGACATAATCCCCTTCATGTGTGAAATTTTGAAGTGGACAAAATCCCTTCAATAAAATTGCGACCTTGAACAAAATCCCCCTCGGATGAATTTTCTGTTTATAAAGTGACATACAGCATTATGCTGTGTGGTGAGTTCGGGAATATTGGTGTCAACATCAGTTCTATACTGCTAAGGCCTGTGCTAGATGGACAGTGTTGCACAATTCATTTCTTCCTCACCATCTTTCAGAATTAATATAGACGAGTTGTAATAGTGTTTTTGAAATTATAAGAATTGTTTAAAATAAATAAAATGATGGCATTGATGATTTGACTTTTAAAACTTCAACAAAATGAAAAACACACTTTGTCTTATTATCCCATTTTAATTATATTTGTTATGCAGTTGATATTTTACCACAAATATAATGAACACTGCTAAACTAATTAAATTTTTTTTTAATGATAATTTGGTTGATAATTAATCTGAACAAATAAAAAAATGTCTCATCAGGCTTATTTAATTATAAAGGTTAACTTGATACATAATTATAAATAAAAAAACAAAAATAACCGCCTCGGTTAGAGTCGATGACTTCTAATCCAGTTACCTCTCTGGCGTGGGTTCGATCCCCGGGAGATGCTTTGGTAGTTTAGCGCGGAGGAAGGTAGTCTAGTACTGGTGTAACTCTCCAGGAAACTACCCGCCTATATGACTGAAATACTACTGGTAAAGATGTAAAATGAAACAAACAAAAATTCATTATTCATCAATTTTTATTGAGTATAGATCATAAATGTTTATGGGGCATAATAATACATGAAACAAGGGGATTTTGTCCGGGTAGGTAAGGGGATTTTGTCCAGCCTTGCAAAAACATGATGGGGATTATGTCCAACCATGGAGGGGATTTTGTCCGGGTATAAGGAGGGGATTTTGTCTGAAGGGGATTATGTCCGTACACCACTGTGAATGCTTGCTAAAACATGATGGGGATTATGTCCAACCATGGAGGGGATTTTGTCCGGGTATGCGGAGGGGATTTTGTCCGAAGGGGATTATGTCCGTACACCACTGTGAATGTAATCACCCTTAATCTCAATGTTCCTGTCCCCATTAAATTTTAACAAAAAAAATCTCATTGGTAATTCTTTATAGCGATGTTTATTATATTGAAATGTGATTGACCAGAATATACAAGTGTTAAAATGTAAGGTTTTATTGTCTTCTAATAAACAATTACCAAATGTCATTTGTTTCAATTAGATAATGAATTAGAGACAGAATGTTTTCGGTTTCACAGCCACAACAAACTTATATTTAGTTAGACACGACAGCTGCCCTTGTTTGGTGTTTACCGTGAAATTCAGCTGTTTTAAACGACAAGATGTTTTCATCCTGTCAATGGACCCGGTATTTTAAATTCTTTACAACAATTTGTATAGTAATTATCATAGAAGGTCATTTAAGTACCATATACAACCTAAACTTACTTTTTCACTTCGTATCACCTATAGAGTCAGCAATTTCAGTTTTAATTTAGGTTGAGCGGAGTAGGTTTCATGTTTGTGTT